TCCGTGTTTCGGTAAATTGTACTGTTCTCAAATCAGGGGTTCCGTGAAATTAGCATTAAACATGTTTATACAGAATAGAAGAGTTTTAAAATCTATATACAAATTGTGCTAATGTACACGATATAAAAATTAGCTGAAATACTGTACGATATTTAATAAAAACATGCTTAATCTCTGGATCATATTTTTTACAACTAATAGGTTAACCTGAAGATGATCCGGGTACAAGTCAGCGATCAAGGTTTTGAACTTAATGGTTCATTAACAAGCTGTCAACAAGTTAGAAAAATCCTCTTTATCACTAGGATTGAGAAGAGTAGTTAATACACATAACAGGAACACATAAAAAAAAATTCTAAATTATAATATTGATACGGTCGCGTGGTGTAGTCGGCAGAAGATGAGTTGACTGTTGGTTTAACAATGATTTAAAATGACACATAATACATACATAATCAACCTCAACATTATAACATACCGAGAACATGTAGTGGGAATCAAGAGTTAATTATGGTTAAGAAAAACCTAGAGGTTTCAGAAGCAACCCCCTGCAGTATTTTGAACCTCATCACACTTGTTCAACTATCTTCAAATTGGTTAGTTTACGTTTAACATTCGAGTAGCGTATTTTTGTAAATTCAGTGTGAGTCAAACACCAGTGGTGGTGGTCAAGACTGTAATTTCCCACTTAAATGATGTCCTGTTAAATAAAATGCCTCCTAACCCTTTGCATGCAAAAGCAACTTCAATGTCTCCAAATTCAAAACTTTAACACACAAAACTTAAGTTATGTAGAAACATATTTTGAGAATGTTTTTTATTTTAAGGGATTGGTTTTAAGTGAAATTAAAGCTGAATTTAGCTATGGAAGTTTTTTTAAATGTAAAGCATTTAAGGTAACATATAGCTTATACATATGGACTGTGTGATGCCAAGAAACAATTTAATAAACCAAGGAGAGACCATTAAGATCTTAGGTCAATTGAAAGAAAATAAATAACGAAAATGGTGAAATGAAGTGTAATAGCTTTTTTTCCATAAAGTTAAATACAATGATTTTGCTTATATTTAGATTCAATGACTGTACTTTAAAGATTTGCTTATATATACCATAGTTAACAAGTTAACGTACTGAAAAGCATAATACGTTGAAAAGAAATTATGTATCCATGTCACGCTGTAACGTCTAATAAAATGTACTTTTCCTTTTCAGTGTTTCTTCAAAACATAATCTTAAAATGTGAAATCGATAAAACACTCGTGACTCTACTGAGTCCGTTAAATCACGCAAACTTTACAAGCAGCTTTGGGGAAACATTGTTGAAATGCAACATTGTAAGCGTTTTATGCTAAAACATTGCTGCCAACTAGTATATATTTATGAAGTGTTGGAGATTATTCTGGGTGTTAAAACATTTCAAAAAGACTGTATCATATCGAGCTTAGAGTAGTTGCTTAAGACTTAGGGAGGGGAGGATAATCTCAGTGTAAGGTTCTTGATACTATCAGAGTAAATGTTGAGAAAATGTTATACCGTTTTGAATCTTGTTTTGAAATGTACTAGAAATACAAGTTTAGGTATTAGTACTATGTATATAGTCTTAAACTATTTTAATAGGTTTTTAAAAACTGACAAGTGGAAAATCACTTCGGTAAATGCTTTTATAATGATTAATACTAGGTATGCATAACAGTAATCATACCAAATATCTTCTAATATAGCTATAAAATGCCTACTTTGTACGGTCGCCATTTCATTGAAAGGTATTTAAGTATTAAAGTATTTTCTTTGGATAATGATAAATCATCGTAGATAAAGTGGAACATCAACATAATAACCCTCGATGCAAAGTGACATTTTTGAATCCCCTGGAATTTTTTTTACCCCTAATCACATGTTATTGCAAACCTCGATATGAAGTAAACCTCGACAATACGTTTTATAATCCCTACGAGAGTCTTGTTATCAAGGGATAATTGTATATAAAGGATGCTATATAATATTCAATCCACTGCTATCTCGATTTTGTGAAGGTTTTGCACTAATCGAATACACACCCTACTTAAATATAATTTTTGATCATTTATTTTATAAACCAAGTTAATCGTCGTGTCAGTATGAATAATAATTAAAATGGTTCTCCCATAATAATAAGAATGATTCAATTTGAATAGCATGGCTGTATACCTACTATTTGACCTACCATGATCAAACTCCTCTACGAACGTTGAGCAAATAGAAATACTAATACATTTCCACCCCTTCCCCTTTTCTAGGAAAGCCACTATCAAACACGAGCAAACAGTTATATCAAGAGCCAACACATATTGACTTGAGTAGAACTTGTGTAACTGAGTATTCCGTTACCAGAATTGGAAAAGTTAAATTGAGGCTTCAACCTGAAGCGTTTCATTCATATGCTTTCGACATACTATGAATCCTGGTAAGCCAAGACGGATTTAACTTTTTCCACGTTCATCACACTTTCAAATGTCGCTGGATTTTCTTGATCAAATTCTTAAAGTTGACCTATCGATGGGCGTCTACTAAACAAATTTAGTGATACATGTTGACCAGGTTTCTTTTAATAATGGCAAATCTACATTTTAGTTTGATACAAATCTTTGAGTTACAAATTTGCTAAAAATTTTTATTATTCATTGTGACCCTTGCTTGGAATATATCATTACCTCATCCAACCACAATTTTTGGTACGGCGGCTATAGTTTCGTTCCTAAGAACTTTGTCAGATCATTTTGTATGCAACCACATCATCAATGTATTAATTAATACATTGTATTCAAGATTCATTGAGTAGTTCAGTAATTTACAATTGGCCAAGTCACAGCTTACAAGCGGATGCACGTATCAATACATTGATTAGATATTGCATATAAAATGACCTTTCGATGTTCTAAGAAACTAAACCAGTCGTCACACCAACAACTGTGGTTGGATAGGTAATCATTTGATTTTATCAATATAGATTTTTTTTAGAACATAACTGTTAAGTCTAAACTCCAGATCAGTTGAGCTCTATCTAGTTTTAATCCGTAAACATAATAAATATAGCTTAAAGTAACCGTAGAATACAATGTTTATGAAACTAGTTTTACGATCAGCCGTAAAGATTCCACGAATTCATTTCGAGAGTAAAGTATCTATCTGTTGAAAAATATTACAAAGCGCATAGGATCCCCTAAAAAAACCTTAAAGTAAAAACCTACCTGGGTTGGTAAGTAGTGAACTTAGTGATAAAGTTTACCTTCTGATAAATTTTATCTGTTTTACCGTCACCCCCTTTGTATTTTGAAGCTATAAATTTAATGAGATTGACTGTTTATATCACTGAAATTATTTAAATTAAGTTAAAGTATGTTTTATTCTATAGCGAGGTGTCATTAACCTTGTATTTATCTAGACTTGATATCAAAAGGATTACGAAATGAGTAGTTGAAAATCTAGAAACGTATTGTTAATAACAAACTATTTGATTGTGTAATTTAATTCCAAATAAAAATTATATTTCTTGATTCCCTTGTTGTTGATTGCTCAGTATGCTATGCGGGTTTGATAGATGCTAATGCTACTCTCGGGGAAAAGGGTGTTTACTATACAGTAAATACATGATAAAAATTAAAGATATGCCAAATTTATACTTGATATACTTTACAAAGAGGTTATACGTGGTTTCCAGTGCAGTCTTTGGTCGCCTAAATGTTAAATGGATTCGGCACTTTTATGGTGTCATTTTCGAGCCCTAGACGTGAGGTTTTCAACATAGAATCTTCAAAACACATAAAAGACACGAACACAGACACAGATGTGTACTAAAAACACTGCTTGGCCATTCAAAAAATAATCACGGGGCACTTGGAGTTAAAGGTGTAGGTCTAGAACTTTCGTAAGATGTTTTATACATCTTTTTGTGTCAATTTCCATGTTTTCTTTATGTGTTTTGAACACTTTTTGATTACCTTCGTGGTGCGACAACGTTATGAGACTTCAAATAACCGGTTGCCTTGATAAACCTTTTTTGTAAGTATTATTCTTGATTTTCAAATTAAAAGTGAATTTGTTAGAAAATAGTGCTTGGGAATGGGCATACACTCACCTCCAAAATAGTAGAAACACCATCATTTATATAACTGAATTGTGAATTGATTCAAATTTACTTGTAACAAATAAACTATAAGGATTTCTATGACATTTAGGTAACAAATTCACTTATGAATTTCAAATAACCTCTTTGGCAACGTTAAAAGCCTCGATTTCACGGGAACTCTTCAAACTTGCAAGCGAGATAATGATCACTTTGCGGTTGTTCCATAAATCACTCATTGTTAGTGGTAAAGTGTAAAAACACTTAACCAGTTTTTCGCTCCCTATATATTTTTTTACCTAACTTTAATATAAAGTTTGCTTTGAAACCTACTTTACCTACCTACTTTTTTACTGAAAAGAGAAGGAGTTTATAGGCAATTCAGTATGTTTTGAGTAGTGAAATTATATCCACTTCAAGTAATAAAATATATTTGGAAGAAATGTATTCAAAGAAACACAATTTTTATCCTTCAACCGAAAGTAACGTATGGCAATTAATATTCAAATACAAGAAATCAGGTGATTAGAAATAGGTTGGACAGATATTCATTTTTAAATGTAGGCATATACCTCACATTTAATTTATGTACACTTTATATTTCCATTTACATAACTTTACGTTTTACTTTATGTTGTGGACTTTAAAAATTTAAGATCAACTTGGACACAATTATGCTGTATGGAAACAGCCACAATTTAACACTGATGATTTTCTTTTTCTGAAGTTTACAAAAACAGTTGACATTCAGGCTTTAACATTTTAAGACTTGGACTATCATCAACATATAGTAAAGTTAAATAAATAAGGTTAAAATTTTACACAATTAACCTTATTTGTATATTTAAAATATTCTTCATCATCCTATAAACTTTGATACTCAAATCCGGTCCTTACCTTCACCACCTAATAATCCATTCCAACTTCCACATGAAGTGTTAGAGTAATTGGTCACTGACAACTTGGTGCACACAATTCAGAGACAACTTCTTGTATCCATTAGTTGATTGATAATTATCCTTTGGGGTGGGTCAAGTACACTAAAGTTTGCGGTAAGCAGGACCCGCCAAACACAACCGTTCGCGAACTGCGGCTTTTAAACACTGACTGTCATAGCGCCGCCCCTACGACAGCGCTGCGGTGGCGACTTGGGGAAACTCCCGGTAAAATCAATCCATTCTATTATCCGATCCAGGTATACTGAATTGGCATAAATGAAATTGAAAAATTAAATGATGATGTTTGATGTTTGTTTTGTGATATTGCTTGCTTTGTTTAATCGACTGTCAATTGAGTGATGCGAGTTAGTTTAATTTGTTGCTGGACTTATTCATTGGTTTAAAGGTGTTGCTTTACGTTTTTTTAAAAGTATATAAGTTTTATTTGATTTTTAATTTATAACAATAAGGATTTTAGACTGAATTTTAATTATTAAATTGTAGTTAAGGGCAACTATTGTAAAAGCTTGCGAATACAATACGGAACGAAGTAACTATATGATTGGGGATGTTGCAAATGGAAATTAAATGTACAAGTAATTACAATATTATACCTATAACAAGAAAATTATTTTATTCCCCTACTGGAAATATATTTGGATTTTGATTTGAAACAAATTGCAATACAAATTGCTAGATAGTTGAAATAAACCTTTTTAAAGTGAATAGTGCGTATTTCTTTCTAAATAATCACAGTAAATAATCAATTATATTATTGTGTCAACATATTTTTTGGGTACTAAAACCAATGCTAGAAAATTTTTAGAGCGGTTGCTATTTATTCAGGAGCATATTGAACAGGTATATTTTGGTACACGTATTAAAACCACTATAACACAAAACTTACGTTACGGTAATTTCAGTGTTTACATTTAGACATGTTGCTTTATCCTTGATTTGGTCTCTTTGTAACCAATATTCGATATTTTTTATTATTTTTGCTATATTCATTTAAATTCTATATCTGCTCAAAATATCCTTTATACTTTAGAATTTAGAATAATTAATTCATTTAGGTATTGAAAAAAAACAATAATAATTAAGTATTTTATCTCATTTATTTTAGTATAAAATGATAATCGTATTTTGAGGCTTCGTTTCTATAAAGTTTTAACTATTTAATATTATACTGTTCATATTTTAAGCATGCGGCACCACTCTAAGTGTATGATCTCATCCTTATTTATTGGTATGATTTGTGGATGCGATACTCCATGGTGTGGATTTAAGTCCACACTAGTGAGTACTACGACTATCAGCAGTACTATCCTATAATTAGACCAATTCGTAAATTCCAAAGCAAAAATGTGGTTTGCATTCCACTATAAACTGTAGGTCCCTTAGTTGCCATTGGTTGTATGGGCTATTAATTTACAGCTGTGTCTAAGGAATGAGTCGGCCTTAGTCACTAACAAGACTACAAGATCATCTCCACTCATAATTAGCTTAAAATGCCTACCTCCGTTTGGTCACCATTTCAATAAAAGCATATTAAAGTATTATGAATAATCAAACTTTTTTCCGTAAGCAAGTATTTTACCAACAATAGTTTATGTGTTATCCACGTGTCTAAAACAGACCAATTAGGGTACATTATAAAATTCATAGCCACTTGTATCAAGTTAAAATTTAAACCTTTATCCTAATACAAACTTAATATACAATCTTTATATCTTCATCTTAATATTAATAGAAAACATCTGGCAACCGATCAACTGTGGGACAAAAAGCAATTACGATAATATTAGTATTTGAAACGCTTCTTTCTCAGAACTTCCTACTTTGCGCGTTGAAACAAAACCAATACTTCAAAGAAAAGACTCGGGAAAGCAAAAGAAACATTGGAATCTGTCAACAACAACCACCTGGTTTTGATAACAAAACACATTGTCGCTTCAACACCACTCTCCGATGCTTTTGATCTTCCAGTGTTTGAAGAATATTGTTTTCAGTCCATTGCAATGATTAATAGTTTCTTCAATAATGATCTGTCTGGTTTAAATGGTAATTTTCGAAAATAATATCCTTTTCCGAATATTTAAAAATTGTATTGTTTCTTTAGTTCAGTGTGCACAATTTTATGCATTTATCGCAGATTACTTTCTTTATAGTTCTTTATATTATGACTTTGACTAATTGTTTGGTAAATTATTGCTAAAATATTGAAGTGTTATTATTAATTTTCGACCAGATTGAAAGAGATAACGATATCAAATAGTTGGAAGTGAATTATCATGTGTGTTATATACTTCTAAAATCAATAATCAAACATATTTGAAAGCCAAACATAAAACTTTATTTGAACGATAAAATTGAAATTCTTTCTCTCTCTTATTTGGTATTGCATTTTCATGTACACTTTTTTGTGGTAAAATATTATTTATGGCATTGTTTGGGCAAATAATTATAAATTATGAATTCTAATATTATATCTTAGTTTAATATTAATTAAAATGTGGTTTTATTCGAATTTTATTTTGCCACTAAATTCTGCAATACATTCAATAGCGTTTATCATTTAATCATGCTTCATTTCACGAACATATTTACTTAAGTTTTTCTAAATATTTTTTCCCATGGAGATTACGTTTTTGATAATCTTAGATAAAGGTTGCTATACATAATCAGTGCTCTTTTATTGGCCTTTGTCCATTATATTAAGGGTAATAATACTAGCTCTTGCAATATTCTTTAGACGTACATAAGAGAAGGCTTATCATTTTGGGCGGAAGCCAGAATATTGTGGGTAATCCCACCTTAAACCCGCCAAGTGATTTACAATCGCTACTAATAAGTCACTCAGAATTGTTCCTGAACGGATTTTAAGATTTTCTGCAATTAATCATTTATTTAATAAAATTGTTTCAAAATGTGTGTATATAACTAATACAACCCTGTTTAATCTCTATAGAACTTTTTGTGTTGATATATTCATGGGAAGCTATAAATAAAACTATATCATATAGAGTTTAGACGTCATAAAAAGTTACTTTCTTCTCACAAAATATAATTTGTGTTATTTTTAATGGCCATAATTGACACTATAAAATACTCAAAATCAGTAAGTTGATGAGTACAAACCTGAGTAAAGTCAGTGAATCAAACTTAACTTAATTATAGCTGGCAACTTATCTACACAGATGATCTCACTGCATTCTATACACTCGCCCCGCAAAGTCCTTGAAATATATTATAAGTAGGCCACTGTTATAGTAAAGGTATCGAGTGGTGTTTAAATGAAGAAACATATCTGTTGTTTTTCACAAAATGTGACAAAAATGTAATTTAAAAAAATTACGAACAAAACTACAAAATAAAAACCGTTATGCACGGGTTTAGAATTGCATTTTTGTCCCACTTTCCCCCTAAAATTTGATCTACATATTGAAAAAATATATGCTGCTCATATAAAAAGAACTTTCTCTGCACTAGAGAACCATGATATCCAATACGAATGTCATTGAACGGGATTTAGTCCCGGGTTCAAATCCAGCACAAAAAAAAATAAATTTTACTAGACTTAAATGATAATGCCACAACCCTTAGTCCTAGCCTAAAGTCATGTGAAAACTATCCCGGGCTAGAACCTATTATCCTAGGACGATAGAAAATAACAAAACAACGGTAATGACAAATTTGAATTGTTTAGGTACAAATTCCTTTATGCCCTTAGATAGCCTATTAGATCCTGTATCTGATACGGTGTCAGATGATCAGTATGCATAGCAAGACCTCTGCTATCTACATCTATGAACCGACCTGGGATATGGGGATATGGGTACCTAATGAGTTTATCCTGCACGTGGCCCACAAATGTGTATATCGCCTACAGTGTGAATTGAAACAGTTTGTGCTATTATACTGTTGTCCCATGTAGTTGTGTTACAAGTATGTTTCTAAAGTTTAGATTTTGGTAATAATTTTGGATAAGTAGGCTACGTTATTAGTTGTAAAAACACCGGTTTGGCAAATCGTAGTTTTTATAACTTGCAAATACTCATGGTAGTAGACACTTATTAAGATTTGCAAAATTTTATGTAGGCCTACACAACTATAACCAGAAGAAAAAAACTTCATTTTCCTATTGGGTCTGATGATGATTAGAGTGTCCAATCAAAATGTACTACTATCATCTTTTAGTATTTACGGTTTAAATACATGTTTTACGTGTTGTTAGTCGTATTTCGAATTCATTTTCCGTAAATTTGATAACAGGTAAAATGCTGAACAATATAGTAGTTTACGCAACGATTGTCTAAAGATAGTGTTTACGACACTCGTGTAAGTTTTCAAGGTACTTGCCAAGGCTCGTACCTTAAATTTTCTACTCAAGCATCCTTATTTAAACCATTACTGTGATTTAAATCGTAATAGTGTGTAGTCGTTCGTGTACTCGTGTCGTTATCACTATTTACGTGAGTTGCGTACACTACTTTACCTACGACAGTGTTATAATTACTAAAAATGTACTCATAACTTCTAAGAGTTATTTTTTAGCTTATAACCTCTCATTGCCACTGACAGTGATGCAACGAAACATTGTACCAAAAAACTAATTGCACCACTCAACAATTTAATTTGGCCTGAACAGCTGATTAGGTGAAGTTCGAATCATTACAATTTTACTTCTTCTTTATCAATCCTTGAATTTCATTGGTCCGATACCCGTGTTGTTACGAGTAAACCTATGCTGTCATGAAAGTAAACAATGTAAAACCTTTCAATTCTAAAAGCCGAACTGAAACAACTACTTAAAAACTGTCTTAGGTAAAATTATTTCAATAACAGACAATCAGTATAACAACCCAAATTTACTTTTAAGTAATTTGTAAGAGCAAAAATAATTTAACAGGGTTACAAAGGAGAAAATTATTATAACTTACACCTTTAAGTTAATTTTATATTGACGGTCTACTGTGTTGACTAGTTAATGTTTTTTTGATAGACACGACACGCCTGTTTTACACTTTGATATACAAGTCAGTAACTCAATGTAACTCTCGTCACGCAATGGAATTTATAATCAATAATGTTTCCACTTGTAGCATTCTTTTAGCTCCTACATCACACCACCTTTAGATTCCATCTCTG